GAAAACGTTGAACACCGATGGGTCTTTTTCAAACATTTGCACGAGCGCGACCGCACGCCTTTTTTGAAAACCGATGTTGCGAAACCAAATGTTCTTGTATGTGCGTTTGGACACTCAGTTCTGAAATCGCGACGAAACCACAGGTTGTTTGACGGATTTCGGCATGCGCGCGACGACGCGCGCGCGTGCACTTCGTCCCAAATGTTGCAAAGGATTCTCGCGACGGCACGCGCGCAAGGGCGTTCGAACAATTTCGACATGCGCGCGCGAAGCCCGTTTGGTAGCATGTTCTGAACATGTAGGAAAACCTATGATTTTCTTAAGAATTCAAATGGGCGCGCGCACAAGGTTGTTTTGAAAATCCGTGTTGCGATACCCTATGTTTTTATATGTTGTTCGGAGGCTCTCGATGTTGAGATCCTTACGAAACCGAAGGTTTTTGAAAGATTTCGGCATGCGCGCGCGACGACGCGCGCGCGCGTGCAATTCGTCTCATTTTCCGGCAGGGATTCTTGAAAATTTGCGATTTTGGATAAACGAGTGTGCGCGCATAGTATGTTTCGCAGAGGATGGCGAGGAGAACCGATACTGGCACCCCTGGGATGGTATAGATTCACATTTAGGATGGACGATGGGGCAGAATCATACGTAAATTGCAATGCGAAACGGAGATGGGATAATCCCGGGGGGGTAAAGTCTTTTTCTCTTATTAAGAAGGAGAGTCTATGTGTGTTGTGCGATATATGTGGTGCAAGCTATGTGGTGCAATATACGTGGTGCAACCTGTGTGCTGAAACCCATGTGGTGCCATCTATGTTGTGCAATCTACGTGGTGAAACTGTGCGAGGCCGCGAGGAGGCGGCGACTGGGCGGCAGCGGCGACAACATAGCCGCCAGACCGAAAATCAGGCCCAGACGACCAGCGGCGACGAGGTGGCGACGGGGCGGCGACGGCGGGCGGCCACATGGCCGCCAGACCGACCGTGAGGCCCCACACGACGGGCGGCGACGAGGCGGCGACAGGGCGGCGACGGCGGCCACATAGCAGCCAGACCGACCGTGAGGCCTAGCTCTTCAGAAGAGAAGTAAGAACCCCCTAAGTACAAGCTCTGTTTGGCGAACATTTGGGGAGGCGCGACCGCGCGCGCGGCGACACAGCGGAGTCAGGCAATCCAGAGCGGGCGCGCGCTGGGCGCTCACGCAGTCTCCAGGCGGGGTGCGGCACGACTCACCCAGAAGGAGCCGCGCTGCGAAGGGACTCGCGGGATGGGCGAGGGCGGACTACAGACAGCAGACCAGGGAGAAGTGGCGACAGTGGCATGGCCGCTCACTATCCCAGACACTGCTTGACCAGGACCGCTACCAGCTGAGCGGGCACACCTCGTCTAGGGCAGGGCCCTTGTTCGATGCGCGACCAGAAGCGAGGACGAGGAGGCAAGACAGCGCGGGAAGGCGCGCCCAGGGACCAAGGACGGGATTCCGACATCAAACAGGGGCGGCGGGGGGAGGACGGGCGAGACGGGCGAAGGGGCCGGAGGAAACCCGGCACGGAGGGCAGAGTGACAAGGGTCGCCAGGCACTGCACCAGTCGTGCTATACCATGAGGAACGCCAGATCAGGAACGCAGAAACTGTCTGGCCACGGCGAACCTCGGCCACGAACAGATTTCTCGGCCTCGACCTGAGGAACGGCCCGAAAAGCAGAGCCCCTCCTGAACCCAAAGCGGTCACTGTTTCAGCATATCGACTGTGCTCCCTGGAGCGGTGGCGGCGGCGCGCAGGTGGGGGGGGGGGCAGAGGCGGAATCGCCGAGGTGCTCGACTGACGCCGAGAAGTCCCAGAGGGAGTCCTGCGTGAAACCGAGGGCCCATGGCGCCCCGACTCGCGCAGGCCTCGCACCAGGCCCTCCATGCGCCCGTGAATGGTTGAAACCCCCACTGTACACTGCATCTCTCCGCTCGGCCGCCGATCGCATCGTCGACGATGCTCGCCCGAGGCTGCACCGTGGTCAACTTGGCCCGAAGAGCCCATCGGGGAGGCGGAACGCGCAGCCTCCGGCTCTTTCCGCTTGAGACTCGATCCAAAACAAGACGAACCGATGCGGCGGGCGCTTGACTAGAGAGGGGACGGCGAGCGGCGTCGAGAGCAGGGGAACAAAAAAAATGGCACAAACACAAAAACTCAGAGGTCGGCGCCGGAGGCGCCGCCGGGGGGCCCCAGCGCCGATCCGAGAAATCCGCGCGGACCTCCGAGTTTTTGTGTTTATGCCACTTGTTGCTCCCCTCGAGGGGGGGCTGGGCCTGGGACCCGACGCGGCGTGGGCACGCACGCCAGGGCAGCCCGGGGAGGCGCTGCTCAGGGGGTCCGACCGGGGGGGAGCGGCCGCAGCGGTCGGCAGCGGACGTCCTCTGGCAGCGGGGAGGGGCGACGCGCTCCGCCGGGGAGCTGCCCGCGGAGCGCGCGCCGGACAGGCGGGGCTCCCGAGTCCAACCTGGGCGGGCCTCGGCGGGAGCCCGGGGGCTGGAGCGAGCAGAGTCGTCGTCGTCGTCGTCGTCGTCGTCGTCGTCGTCGTCGTCGTCGTCGTCGTCGTCGGGGGCGGCAGCGGCGGCGGCGGCGGCGGCGGCATGCCGATGGGAGCTGCCGGGGCCCTGGAGCCTTGCCTGCCTTTAACAGGGGTTTGGTCTGCCAGGGCAAGCCGATGATCGTCGTCGTCGTCATCATCATCATCATCATCATCATCATCATCATCATCATCATCATCATCATCATCATCATCATCATCATCATCATCATCATCATCATCATCGTCATCTTTATCGTATCAGCATCATCATCAGCATCATCAGCATCATCAGCAACAATATCAGCAACATCATTTTAGTCATTCCGTTTTCATCATCATCATCATCATCATCATCATCATCATCATCAGCAACATCAGCAACATCAGCAACATCAGCATCACCATCATCATCATCATCATCATCATCATCATCATCATCATCATCATCATCATCACCACCACGGCCCCAAGAGCGCCCAAGAGCGCCCCAAGAGGGACCCAAGACAAGAGGCCCCCAGATATCACCAAGACGGTCCAGGGGCCTCCAAGACGCCCCGAGACGACCCAAAAGGACCCCAAGACGGCCCCAAAGGACCCCACAACCGCACTGGCTCAAATTTTCTGCCAACGCCCACGGGTGCCACCGCCCGCCGGACGCTGGCCAACCAGACGGCCTGCCCAACGCGGCCTACCCGACGACCAACCCAACCCGACGGCCTACGCGACGCCCTACCCGAGCTATGGCCGCAAACATTTACATGTTGGACGAGATGCAGAAAATGATGAGGATCCCTTTCTGGTCCCCCGAGATTGGCCCGAACGGTTCGTGGTTGCCGATGTACGTGAATGTGCAGCCTTGCGGCAGTGGCCTCTACAGCGGCACCTTCCCGACGATCGCAGAGTGCAAGGCTGAGCTGAAGCGGAGCCTCTCTTGGATCAGCGAGCTCACGGTCGAGCCAGAGCTGTACTACATCAAGATCCCGCCGCAGGGCGAAGCGATGCCGACGGTGCCTGTTCCAGAAGGCGACCACCCGCTGGCAGACGAGTGGGTCGTGAACGACCGCACGGCGCTGTACATCATTACCTCGTTGCCAGAGTTTGGCTACCCGCTGGAGTGCGACATGATGCAGAATCGCGAGGGCGAGAAGAAGGACGCTAAGGACTCGGTGAAGGACGTGACGATCCCGGAGAGCGACACCAGCAGCATCAAGGGGTGGGTGCACGCGAAGAGCGCCAAGGACACGCAGAAGCAGCAGTTCAGCATCGACGAGGTCTACAAGCTGGGAGTCGCAGCTGGCATGCAAAAGCAGATGGAGGCCGCCAGCAGCTCGGCGTAGGCGTTCGACTTGCCCGACGGCCTACCCGACGGTCAGCAGCTCGGCCGACCCGACGGCCTACCCGACGGCCTGCCAGACCAACGGCCTGAACCCGCCGTCCTACCCGATGAGAGACTCTTCGACGACTCGGCGCGCTTGAAAAGGACGGCCTCGAGGTCCCTAGAGACCCTCAAGAGGCCCTCAAGAGGCCCTCAAGGTCCCTCGAGCCTCTCGGGCCTCCCCTCCGCCGTTTAGCCCTATAGCCTTATAGCCTATAGCCCCATAGCCTACAGCCCCATAGCAGCATCGCCCTATAGCCCTAAAAAGACTAGGAATGGTTTTTTTCCAGTATCTGTGTTAGCAAGCCAGTCGACGCCACGAGGCGAAGTGAGTGGAAAAATATGTTTTTTTTGTTCACCGCGTGCGTTGCCACGTGACGAACAAAGTTGTCGTTTTTTCCTGCAGCATCCGTTGCGACCGATTCCATTCGATGAGCGAGTAGGGCCATAGGGTTACAGGTCTATAGGGCTATAGGGCCATAGGGCTGTAGGGTTATAGGGCTACAGGGCCATGGGGCTATGGGGCCCCGGGGCTCTGGGGCGATAAGGCTATAGGGCCATAGGGTTATAGGTCGGAGGTGAGGGGGTGAGATCGAAGAGGGGAGAGGCCCCTACCGGGAAATCGGTTTCGGTTTCGTGTTCGTGTCGCGCGTGAGGGCGAGGCGAAGCTGCGTGGGCGGGCGAGAGGAATTCACCCTGCTGTCGCCAGGGGTCCGCCAACGCAAATGTTTCCCCCCCCCCGGCCTTGTCAAGCGGGGGCCCACATTGTCCCGTCGGTGGCTCGTCGTTGTCCCGTCGGTGTCCCGTCGGTGTCCTGTCGTGAGATCGATAGTGAAATCGGCTGTGAGACCGATCGTGAGATCGAGAGTGAGATCGATAATGAGATCGATAGTGAGATCGATAGTGAGATCGATAGTGAGACCGATTGTGAGATCGATTGTGATATCGATTGAGATCGATAGTGAGACCGAATGTGAAGTCGATAGCGAGATCAATACTGCGATCTATTGTGATATCCATAATCTGATAGTGGGATCGATGGTGAAATCGATGGTGAGATCGATAGTGAGATCGACTGTGACACCGAATGCGAGACCGAATGTTGGATCGATAGTGAGATCGATAGTGAGATCGATCGTGAAATTGATAGTGGCACCGAAAGTGAGATCGATTGTGAGGTCGAATGTGAGATTGATAGTGGGATCGATAGTGAGATCGATTGTTAGATCGTTTGTGGGATCGATAGGTATATCGGTTGTGAAATCGATGGTGATACCGATTATGATATCGATTGAAAGATCGATAGTGGGACCGATTGTGAGATCGATTGTGGGATTGATTGCGATATCGATCGTCAGTTCCATAGTGAGATCGAATGTGACATCGATAGTGAGATCGATTGTAAAATCGATGGTGAGATCGATTGTGAAATCGATTGTGGGGTCGATGGTAAAATCGATGGTGAGATCGATAATGATATCGATCATAAAATCGATAGTACGGTCGATCGTTAGGTCGATTATGACACCGAATGCGGGATCGATGGTGAGATCGATAATGAGACCGAATGCGAGACCGAGTGTGCGATCGATTGTGAGATCGATCGTGAAACGGAATGTGAGATCGATAGTGATATCGATAGCGAGATCGATTGAATCAGATCGATAATGAAATCGGTTGTGAGACCGATTGTGACATCGATAGTGAGATCGACAGTGAGATCGATCGAGTGATATCGATCGTGAGATCGATAGTGGGATCGATCGCGGGATGTACTGAGTGACGCGTTGGTTCCCCCTCCCCCTCACCTCCTTATCACCCGAAGGGTGGTCGTATACTATTATAGGTATATATGGTTATGGGGCTATAGGGCTATAGGGCCATAGGGCTATAGGGCTATAGGGCTATATGGCTATGGGGCTACAGGCACATAGAGCTACAGGGTTATAGGGCTCTAGGGCTTAGGGCTATAGGGCTCTAAGGCTTTAAGGCTATAGGGATGTAGCGCTCTTGGGCTATAGGTTGTACCATAGGTTGTGCTATAGGTTACGCCATAGGCTACGCCATAGGTTATGCCATAAGTTGCGCCTTGAGGGTCGGCTGCGCCACATGTTTTTTCGTGCCTTGGATGGTCTCCCATAGGTTGCGCCACAGGCTGCGCGCTTGGCCGCCGCCTGGCAATCTTGGTTGCGCCAGTGGCTTGAGGACCTCGCTGGGGACCAATTTGGGGCCATGGGATCGCGGGGGGACGGCTTCCTTAATTGGCCTGGCCGCACTCGTACCTTTGCGGCGCACCAAACAATGCCGACAGCAGACCCGATGCATGTGAAAAAATTATGATCCGCATCGTCCCTCGAGCAACTGGCAAAACTTAAAAAAAATGCACAACTAAAACGTTGGTTTGATGTTTTCCAGCCGCTCTGAGCAGGAACGTCCCAGCAAGACCTGTCGCGCACGCCTTGCTATGGCTGACCCAGAAGGCCTGTCGCCTTCAAATCCCCAAGTGAGAAATGCGGCACCCGTCTCAGACGCCACTGTAAAATCGTCGCGTGTGACGGTCAGCCTAGTAGCGCTCCGCCTTGTACGTGACGGTGAAAGTCTCCCTGGTGCCTGTCGGCGTCCGGCAATTCCCAGGAGTCTCCAAGATCGTTTTGAACGCCATCCCCACCGCGGGCGGCACATCCGACAAGCTCTGGTACGCGTGCGAAAACTTCAACACCAGGCTGCGCGCACCGGGGCTGCCCACCGCTTCCTCGACCCTCTTCGCCTCTTTCTTCTTGCGCTCCTCCTGGCTGTCGGCGCTGCGCTTCTGGCCGCCCGCTGGCTTCTGGCCGACATCAGGCGGCGGCTCCTGGAGGACTTCTGGCGCCTGCTGGCCGACCTCACGCGGCTGCTGCTTGCCGATCTCACGGGGCAATGCCGACACTGGCGGAGCCGATGCTGACGACGTCCTCCTCGTCGACGGCGCAAGTGCCTGCGCCGCTGCTGCCTGAGGCACCGGCGTGTCACCATCGACGATGTCGATGGCGCCGACGTCCTCGATCTTCTCCTTCATCTGGGTGCCCATGGCGTCCTCGTTGAACGTCGGGAGGACGAGGCCGCCTGGGGCGCGCATCTCCTGCGAATCAATATCCACGGTTCCTTGCTCCGTCATCATCTGCCGCTGCCGTCGCATCAACTCCTCGTACTCCTCTATAGAATCGCATTGCTCGAGCAAGGTTTCATTCTGGCTTGCCATCGGGCGCTGGGCCCGCTGCGCCGCTGGCAGACGCTCGAACGGCTTGAGACCAAGTCTTACGGATCTGGAGTAAGTGACGCGTTTTGTGCATTGACTTACAGTGGTTGTAACATGGGTTTACTCGCGTGCGAGTTGTCGCAGTCGTTCCGGATGCAGGTTGCGGTTTGCGCGTTGCCGCCTTACTTTCTGCACTTCGCTAGAGTGGCTGTTTTAGGATGGGCTGGTGGGGATTCGCGAAGCTGGCTCTTTTGAGGCGCTCATGGGGCTCTCTTGGGCGCTCTTGGAGCCGTATTGGGCTATCTGGAGCCATCTTGGAGGCCATCGGCGGCGATGATCATGATGACGAAATGGCGATGATCATGATGACGAAACGAATGGCGATGATCACGATGACGAAACGTGTTTTGGGCTTTGACGCCAGGTGGCTCCCCTGAGCCTGACAGCCCCCCCCCCGTAAGTGGAGATAAGGCCGCCACCATGGCCGCGGGCCAACGTGGCAAAAGGTGACCCCACGGGGCCAGTTTCTGTTATTTCCGCGTTGCTTCCTTCAGCGCTGCTCGCGAGGGCCCCTGGTGCACCCGCAGAATGGCGAAGCCTCTGTATAGAGACGGGATAAGGGGGCGGCGCAGCCTCTGCATAGATGCGGCACAGGGAAAAGGATGACGAGAACAAGGGAGAGGATATGTCACGGCTCTGCAGGAAGGAAGGGCGGCTGGACAGGAGGAAGAGGAAGGCGCGAAGAGGAGGGTGAGAATGACAATTGTCAGCTCGCTGGCAGTCACGACCCCACGTGACTGAACCCCTCCTCAAGCACGCGAAACTTCTTCACGAAGTTTTCAATCCCAACAAACACATTCTTCTGCAAAGTACCATTCCTCTGAAGCCTCCGGCCCTCAGTGCGCGAGACGATGCCGACAGCCTGAAGTGGCCGATGTTGCCTGACAGGCCCTGTCGAAAACTTGATGGTGAGCTCGGCGAACTCCTCGCGAGTTGGGGCCAACCTCCAAACGCTGAACTGTACATTGACTGCCCGATTTATCACACGAACTGCCCCGCGACTCTCTTGTCGAAAGCCGTCGCTCATCCATGCGTAGCGCGGCAATCGCGCCGAGCCTCCAAACCGCAACGCAGCTTTATACTGCACAGAGGACCCGCCGGTGCCGACAACGAAGGCCAGGTCGCAAATAATCCCACCAGAAAGAGCGAACACTAAGTCAATCAAAGGATCACACGCCCCGGGGCGCGCAACTACACAGCGAGAGGCGTCAATTGGATTGACTGCGATTTGGAGCTGCTTTCGTAGAAGGGTCGACGTGGCTTCAGGCACATCACTGGCCGCGAACACCGCGTCGACGCCTGGGCGTGGGCGGCCGCGCTCCGGGCTTGGCCCAGTGACCAAGCGTCTGGTCTGTTCCGCCTTTCTTCGCCGCTTGGCCCTCAAACCTAAGATGTGCAATTGCAAGTCATCAGCGTCCCGCCGTTCTCCCTCGGCGACTTCTGGGGCCAAGATATGCCCAGCTGACATTGCAGTCAAGCGATGATTATTGCGCTTGTCTGCATTGAACCGTACTTCTTTTCTCATGCCATCATCCCAGACTTGGACGGCCCCTGCCACTGCTTTGTCTCGAACTTCGATAAGGTCCACCTTTTTAGCTCGATCATATCGGGTTGCCTCTTGCAGTGCTCGCCTGTGCTTGTCGCTGACGTTTGAAAGACCTCCCTGAAGGCTGCATTGCTTTCGGCCCTTGTGTTTTCGAAGCCCATTGGTTTTGCGGTGACATCCGTATAATGACTGCCACACGCCTCGCGCGCGCTCCAGGATATGGTCGACGAGCCCATGTGGCACGGGGAAACATGTGCATTATGCGCAACTCTGCGATTTCCATTCCCTCAGAGAGGCATAACCTCCTCGACGTGAATACCAACTGCTGCAAACTGCGCGCATGCTCAACAACCGATGTTGTCATGCCACAAAACGTTGAATATCTGACCTCAAGATCCTTCAACGCAACATTGGAAGGTCTCGCATCGGTGCGTAGCTTTTCAATCTTTTTGATCACTTGGACCCATGCGTTGCGATTGGTTCCCCCCCGGCAACAAGCTTCTGCACCTCTGGGAAATGATCGGCATAGGCTTGGCTCAGTGGAGCCAAAGGAATGTTGAATGATTGAGATAGCCGTTCAAGACAAGTGTCAACTGCACCCCGCATCTCTGGCTTCTTTGCGTTCATGACAGAAAACGTTGATAAGCAGACGCCCCACTCTGGCCATTCAGCCCGCGCCACGCTAATTGCCATGACAACCCAAGCATTCATGCGACTGTAAGCCAAATCCAGAGCTCCCCAGGCAGCGCGCGAGTCCCCGATACAATGGGTTTGCCCTTTCAGCACCGCTGTCATTGGCCTTCTCAGCCAACTGAACATCATGAACGTGTAACTTTCAGGAATCTGATCAGCGTGCTTATCCACGAAGAGATGCTTGACTTCCGCGGCCCACGTGTTGATCCTGTCACTTACCTGAGCTATGTCGAACGTCTCCCTGTCAAAGAAGCGCAGAGGCCCACAGTGCACGCGCCAGCATCTGCCATCATCGCGAGGAGCAGGCACACTTCCATCCCTTCATCACCAGCGATGAACTCGATGAAGGACAATGCGTCTTTCCCTTGGTCATATGGGCTTGATCTTGCGATCCATATCGCTGTGTGCACCAGTGCTGAAAAGAAAACGACAAACCTCTGAAGTGGCCGCACATTGCTGTTGAATCGATTCAAAGCGTGAGACAAATTCTGTTTCTTTATATGATGCCTACTGCCGTTCCCGGCGTAGTCATGCATGCGGACTTCTTTCATGAGTCGTTATTTCATCACTGTACTGTTGCGGATTCGCTGCATAATCGAAGTGCGCTGCCGCGCAACCTTGCCGATGACATCCTTGATGCCTAGGCCCCCGCGCATCCAAGGTCGCCTCAAGATTCGAGAGGCAGCGTGAGTAGGATCTTTCCCCAAGTAGACCGTGTTATAGAACATCGGGTCTGGCATGTCGAAGAATGCTTTCGAAAGTTCAACCCCTGCCAGCTGCTCAACCTGCTCGCAATCCGCATCGAAGCCCAGACTTATGCTGCGGATGTGGTCGTAGAGGTGTCCATTGAATTGCGGCCGTTATAATTTTTTGCGAGAACGCCTGGTGGCCCAGAAAATTGCATGCATAATTCTTGAACAATCTTTTTCACGGCGACCACGTGTGCATCAACGGCGTCGGTTCTGCCAGTTTTTATCAAAGATAAGTCAGCGTGCCCAAGATACCCCCTGAAGCTCTGACATTCATGGTTCGCGCACCGGCATCGCAACGTGAGTCTATGTGCCCTCGCATCGGAGTGCAGGACGGGAGCTCTCGCCTCTGTGAGTACCTCTTGCTGGTGATGTTTGCACGCCTCTCCGATGCAATACTCCATCTGTGTGCGCTTGTTGCGGGCAGCCACTCCGTCGATCGCCATGGCCAGCGGCTGGTTGTTCCGTCGAGCGTCAAGAACTGCGCGTCAAGAACTGGTTGTTCCGTCTGATGACGGCGACGGAATGGTGAAAATGATATTGATGATGACGATGATGATGATGATGATGATGACGATGGAATGATAAAATTGATGTTGATGATGATGGTGCTACTGATGATGATTCGAGGACGATGATGATAATGATGATGACAATGACGACGTTGATCGATCGGCCTGCCCTGGGACCCTGGCAGACCGAACCCCTGTTAAAGGCAGGCAAGGAGCCCGCGGAGGGCCCGGAGGGCTGCGCACCTGTGGGGGCGACAGGCCCGAGGAGCGGCGGGGGGGGGGGGGGCGCGGGCCCGGAGCGCACGGGGCCGCGGGGCCGCGCGCGCCCACCGCAGCGCAGGTCCTGCGGCTGGCTGGGAGGGGGCCCGCGAGGGGGCTGGCGCGGGCCAAGAGCGGCGCGGGCCTGCGTGGTGCGGGCCAGCAGGGAGTGGCACGCCGCCGTGGGGAGCCCATCGGCGCGCCACTGCTGAAGAAGCACCCTGCTCTCGGACCCAAGCGAGGGGGGTGACGGGCTGACGGGTTCCCAGCGGCGGCGTGTCGCCGATGCGCTTTGTCCCTCCCAGTCGGTGCCGAGGCCGGCCGGCCCTCCCCGTACGGCTGAAGAGGCCGCCGTGCTCGCCCAGGAGCAGGGCTTTGCGACACTGAGCACGCTGGGAGCGACCTGTGGAGAAGCCTGAGGGGCCAGCTTCAGCGACCAGGAGCTCCAACCAAAGGGCTGAGAGACGGCTGCGCTGGAGCTCCCCGGCGTCGTCCAGAACGGGCCGTGTGGGTGGGGGGGACAACACACCGCTCGCGACGCGACGTGGCCCTCAGGACAGCCAGAAGGGGGGGGGGATGAAGCTGGCAGAAGCATATACACACACACGCACACACGCAGACACACATTTTCTGATTCCGCGGCCAACTGGTCCAACGCAACGAACGCTAAGCTGCTCACCGCCGAACGTGTGCCGATGGGGGGGGCAACGAGCTTGCGTGTGCAAAACACTTGCATGACGGTCAAGCACATGCAGCGACGCTGGCGGCCCGCTTAGGGACACACACACGCTTTTTTCGTCAGCGGCGAGGCGGCGAACTCCGCTCCAGCGAGGAGCTAAAAAGAGGCACTATCTAGCGAATTGGCCGGCGGGCAAAGAACAGGGGGGGACGGCCGAGAGGAAGAAGGGACGCTCAGACGTCAAAGAGTTCGACGATGAGCAGCCGGGGCGGGGCAGCAGCAGCCAGGCGCGCAAGGCCACAGCGCGGTGGGCGGCCGTGGCGAACCACGATGGCAAGGGTGGCGGGAGGGCGGCTGCCAGCAGCTGGAGCTGGCGGGCGGGCGCAGTGGGACACCACGAACGGCAAAGGTACCGCGGCGCGCCAAGGAGGCACAGCACTGAGCCGTGCGGAAGCGAGAGCGTAGCAGAGGACACACACACACACGCAAACACGCATACGCACACACACACATAAGAAAACACACACACACACACACGAGCACAAACGCACACACACACACACACACACGCGCGCACGCAAACACACACACACACACTTTTTTGGGCGTCGCAGCCCTACGCGCGGCGACAGGGCATGGGAAGGTCAGCAAACAGTGAGGCGCGCGCGTCTACGCCAAGCCGAGCACTCAGAGACCGCTTAGGGCCTCGCAGCCAACTCACACACACACATTTCCCCGCCATCCCCAGATTGAACGGGCACCGCCCTCGTGCCGTGTAGCTAAACTTGCAAGTAGCGGGGGGGGGCGCCCAGGCGGGAGGCCCATGTTGAA